CCTGTGCTGAGTCCTCCTTTCCTCCTGTGCTGAGTCCTCCTTTCCTCCTGTGAGTCCTCCTTTCCTCCTGTGCTGAGTCCTCCTTTCCTCCTGTGGTGAGTCCCCCTTTCCTCCTGTGGTGAGTCCCCCTTTCCTCCTGTGGTGAGTCCCCCTTTCCTCCTGTGAGTCCTCCTTTCCTCCTGTGCTGAGTCCTCCTTTCCTCCTGTGCTGAGTCCTCCTTTCCTCCTGTGAGTCCTCCTTTCCTCCTGTGCTGAGTCCTCCTTTCCTCCTGTGGTGAGTCCTCCTTTCCTTCTGTGCTGTGAGTCCTCCTTTCCTCCTGTGAGTCCTCCTTTCCTCCTGTGCTGAGTCCTCCTTTCCTCCTGTGTGGTGAGTCCTCCTTTCCTCCTGTGCTGAGTCCTCCTTTCCTCCTGTGGTGAGTCCTCCTTTCCTCCTGTGCTGAGTCCTCCTTTCCTCCTGTGCTGAGTCCTCCTTTCCTCCTGTGAGTCCTCCTTTCCTCCTGTGGTGAGTCCTCCTTTCCTCCTGTGGTGAGTCCTCCTTTCCTTCTGTGTTATGAGTCCCCCTTTCCTCCTGTGCTGTGAGTCCTCCTTTCCTCCTGTTCTGAGTCCTCCTTTCCTCCTGTGAGTCCTCCTTTCCTCCTGTGTGGTGAGTCCTCCTTTCCTTCTGTGTTGTGGGTCCTCACTGACTGTTCTCCTCCTGTGTGTGGGTCCTCACTGATGATTTTCCAAAATGTGGCTGGGCCTTGTGCTCTAGGAGTCCTGATGCCTTGGGTCTCGGGACTGCGAGCTCCCAGTGCCATGACACACAGCTGATTTGTATCCCTCTGCCAGCTCTCCTTCTCCTTCTGTCGGCGCAGTTACCGTCCTGCACAGAGCAGGGGCGTCTGTGCTGAGACGACCCCCCCCCCCCGCCCAGGAGCATCTTCCCATTGCCATCCTGTGTGGCCCCATGGAACCAGAAGGGGCGGAGCTCGGCTGTCACGGTGAGGAGGGCGATTTTTAAACAGCGAGATGGGACACCCTTTAGTTTCGGTTCCCTTGGGTCATTGTGAATTTGACTAAAGAAGATCTACTTCCTTCCACATGGCCCTAAAATGTAAAATTGCATTCCTCCCATAAGAGAAACTGAATTCCCCACACAAAGCCAGGTTTACCAAATAAAATTGCATAAGTTAACAATTCTAACTTAAGCCAGGATGTTTATATAAACAAACAAGAATCTCTTCTGACTTGGCAATAATATCGTCCATATTTTACAACATTCTCAGCAAATTTTAAGAGGTGGTCAATTTAATCAATTCTACTTTGCTGACAATGAGCCTTCAAATATGATGTAAAATCCTCAAAAGGGCCATTTCAAGAATTTTCCAGAACCCTTTCTATAGATACAGCATGTCCTTGGATGGAGCATGAAACGCATTTTGTGCCCAGATAATCACACCATAAATTCTGTTCACTAATAAAACTTCTGAAAAAGGGCCAAGTGAACGTTAAAGTAAGCAATGTGTTTTCCAGGAGAGCTTTCTGGAGCAGAAGCCCTTGCGTCAGCTGAGCCTCCTGAGTGTGGGGCTCCAGTTAGGAAGGGGTCAGCCACTCCGAGGGCTGCTCAGAGCAGGACCCCGTTGCCTCTGGAAACATGTGGCTCAGCCTGCCTCCTTCGTGGTTCCTGCCTGGATCTGATCTAAAGTAGCGCATCTGTCCCTTTAGAAAGCAATATGAGTCATTGTCGTTTTGATCTCACGCCAGTTTCCCAGTTACAGTGGAGCCAACACCTTGTTAAGATAACCGTGTAATACAGGGGTGCATTTGATTTATGTATCTATCTATTTGCAATGAACTTGAACTTGGGCAGACTCCAGGAGTTGGTGAGGGACAGGGAGGCCTGGCGTACTGCAGTCCTTGGGGTCGCAAAGAGTCAGATACGGCTGGGCAACTGAACAACACAACATTTGCTGGGCAAAATCTAGAATCTACAGAAAAGTACAGGGATCATAGGAAACAATCAGGATGACATTTTTAAGAAACTAGGTGGAGCTGTTGTAAGAAACGCAGCGGCATTCATTATTTCTATGTATTAGTGATGAACTGAAATTAGATTAGCATCTCCTGCATGGACAGGTCAGCACCTGGAGCGGTGCCTAGTGAGACGCCTGTCCACCAATGTGTGCCGAGTGTGCTGAACAATGCAGCGGGACACTCGATGGAAACCAGTGCCGCATCCTGATGTTGACCTGCTTCACACTCATAACTCTGCCAGTTAAGATTCTTAACTTAAAGACCCTCTCCTCGAAAATATCCACCTCCAGGTAGTCAAAGTCACAGGGAATTTAATGGAGCTACATGGATGCCTTGGGGGGCAGGGGGCAGCCGACAGCTCAGGGTCCCCATGGCCCCTGCGGCCCAGATGCTCACAGACCACGTGCTGCCCTAAAGACCATGGCCATGGCCAGGACAGCGCCTGGGCCTCCTCCACTGATGCTGAGGGCCTGGAGTCTTCTCTGTCTCGGGGGCCAGGGTGCTTGCTATTAGGGACAGAAATGCAAGCCCTAGTTCAAGGGCCCCTGTCTCCCTCCTCCCTCTTGTTCATTAAATGATATAGAACACTTGTGAAATGCAGAGCCACCCTGCGCTTTGCGATCATCCTACAGAACATCAACTTGGACTCATGGCCATACAGCCCCCAGCTTCCTTGTCCATCGCCAGGAGGCTGAGGTCAGCCTGGCAGGAAGCTCCAGGCATGCTTCTGAGTGGGAGCAAGGGGGGACCCACAGGTGACCTTCACCTGTGGATGTGGGCAGCAGCATCTGCTGATACAGTCTGCAGATGAACAGGTCACAACAGTACACATGTGTGACTGTCCTTATGGTGCAAACGGACTTACTAGAGTAAGGAAAACCTAGGTGGCCCTATAACTAATGACGGCATCGCTGTGAGTCATCTCACAGTAGATTTACGGCATGCCTGTGATATGCCAGACATTTTAAGAGCTGGAGAAACAAGGAAAGTGAGAGCTGGCATTTATGAGGCTGGGTCTTCGGGCCGCACTGCGTGTTGCGCCTCTTTCATCTTGACAGCAACCCCTGTGTCATCACCTGGGGCAGGGGCCTTCCTGCTGAGTACCAGGCCTCTGCCTCTGGCCATGGCAGCGTGCTTCCAGAAGCATACTCCTTCCCAGCTTTGGGAAGCTTTCCTACCTGTTTGATGTTACCTTTACAGTCACAAAATTTCTGTCAACTGTAGTTATTTCATTTCAGAGCGGGTTAAGACATAATCTGTGGAAAGTTACTTTCTAGGCAGAAAATTGCTCTAAAGATTTTATTTAAAATATATCCGTCCGATATATTGCTTGTTTTCTTTTCCCTTTTATGGAGAAATATGAAAGCAAAAGAGACCATTTTTAATCCCAAAAGACAGCTTAGGTGAAGAGAGCCTGTCCTGGGATAAAACCTTGACCTGCGGTCACCCTGGGTTCCAGGGTGTGGGCTTGTGTGGTGGGAGGCCTGTTCCTGATGACTGCCTTTGAGGCCGAGCTCAGAGATGCCCCACCCTGAGGACAGAGCTGGAAACAAGTGCCCACAATTGGAATTCTTTTCCAGGAGTGAGGGGGAGGCTTAGTTCACTGGTGTGAATTCTTGATGCCAGGTATCTGGCAGAACAGGAACATTTAGAATGTCTTGTGCTGAGTGTTCTCTGGATTACATTTCAAACCTCATGTGGATTTCTAGTGAGGGATAAAGTGTTCTTCACCTTTTATTTTATTTTACTCAAGTTCATTACCCTCTGAGAATCACTAAGCAGAATGGGCTCCTTTAATGCTTCTCAGACATTCTCCATCTATTTGGGGCAGAAGATGGGTCTAAATCAGTGCTGGTTGTTTAGTTGCTCAGTCGTGTCCGACTCTTTCTGACCCCATGGCCTGTAGCCTGCCAGGCTCCTCTGTCCCTGGGATTCTCCAGGCAAGAATACTGGAGTGGGTTGCCATTTCCTTCTCCAGGGGATGCAGCTCATATAATAGAAGATAAGGCCAGGCATATAATAGAAGATAAGGCCAGATATATATCCATCAAAGGAAAGGAAGTCAGGGTCTTAGAGAGATATCTGCACCCTCATGTTTACTGTAGGGTTATTCACAGTAACCAAGACTTAGAAGCAAGCTAACCATCCCTCACCAGATGAACGGATAAAGAAGATGTATATTACATATATAAGATATATGACGTGAAGGGCAAGTGTTAGTTGCTCTGCTGCTACTGCTAAGTCACTTCAGTCGTGTCTGACTCTGCGACCCCATCCCTGGGGTGCTCCAGGAAAGAACACAGGAGGGGGGTGCCATTTCCTACTCCAGAGGATCTTCCCAACCCAGGGACTGAAACAGCATCTCCTGCATTGCAGGCTGAGCCACAAGGGATTCCCTGGATCTAAGTTAGCTCAAGTCTAAATGCAAAAAAGAAACTGAATCTATTAACATAAGAAGACAGAAGCCCCTGTGCGTTGAAATGCTTGTTCTTAGAATTCTGAGTGTTTAGCTTTCCTGTGGATGAGCTTCAGAGCTCCCCCATGGCCCCCGTGACGCTGCCCTGACTAGGAGCACCTCTTCTTCCTCTTGACCGATTTCTGGGGATGCAGCCTGTTTAGGAAACACTGCAGCGGAGCCTGCAGCCCTCTGGGGCTGATCACGCTCCAGACTTGGCCTCAGGCAGCCCTCGGGCAGGGCACGTTGGTGGGGGATGTTCTCCCGGGACCCACCTGGGGGGACTCAGTTGCCCTGGACTGGGTGCCAGCCAGCCCTTCCCTCCATCTGAGGATCCAGAGCAGAGGGCCGTGGCTGTCGCTGGGGTCCGGGTCCCATCCATGGCCTTGGGAGCCCAGGGACATCAGATCCCCTGTGGAAGGTGTCCACCCTGCTGGCCACAGCAGCGCGGGGACCCTCCTGGCTGGCCCCGCACTCCTGGGCCGGCCCCACCCGTTTCCCGGGCGCTCACTCCCGTCTCCTCCTCACTGCAGTGTCCTCGTGCGACCAGGAGCAGCAGTCGGCCCTGGAGGAGGCCAGGCAGCCCAAGAACGACAACGTGGTCATCCCCGAGTGCGCCCACGGCGGCCTTTACAAGCCGGTGCAGTGTCACCCATCCACGGGCTACTGCTGGTGCGTCCTGGTGGACACCGGCCGCCCCATCCCTGGCACGTCCACCAGGTAAGCTCTGGGATGCAGGCTTCCCGCCCGCCATGGACTCAAGGCCCCGAGGCCCGGCCTCACCCTTGCTTCTCAGCACGCGTTAACGCCCGTGGGGGAAAGGCTGGGGACGACCGTCCCCCTGACGGGACCAGAGCCGGCTGTTTTAGGCAGGGTGTGCTCCCACCCTTGTTCACACAGCCTGCGATCGCGGAGGGTGGCTCTGAAGTCCGGGCTGGCTGGGCCTCTTTAGTCCCCGGTTTGGGTGAAGGGGCTGGCAGCCCAGATGTCTGTAGTCCAAAGGTATCTGTGTCTTGAAATGACCACTAAAAAAGAAAGAGTGCTGAGGTCAAGGGTTTGAAACAAAAACCAACCTATTCACTCATGTTTTGTGTGAGTTTAGGGCAAAGCAAGTCATTTCAGAACAGCACCAGGAGTAGACCTGCTCCCTGTTCCTGGGAATGGCGTACATGTGAGTGATGGTGTTTTTGCAGCTGTTGGTTATGTGACTTGACCTTTGATTTCCCATAGATTGGTATAGAAATAGTTTCTACGTATTAGTTGCTCAGCTATGTCTGACTCTTGCGACCCCATGGACTATAACCTGCCAGGCTCCTCTGTCCATAGGATTTTCCAGGCAAGAACACTGGAGTGGGTTGCCATTCCCTTCTCCAGGGGATCTTCCTGACCCAGGAATTAAACCTGGGTCTCCTGCATTGCAGGAAGATTCTTTATTCTCTGAGCCACCAGGGAAGCCAGTAAAAATAGCTCCTCCATAGTATCTCTACGTAGGAGAGGGAAATAGTGTCTCTCACATGTGACCCAGTTTAAGCCCTGGTTGCCTCTGCAGCCCCGAGGCATGAGCACGCTGATGTCTCCTAAGACACTTCCCCAGTTTCTCAAGTGTGACTGCCACGTGTGTGGACGGGGAAACACCACACAGATTCCAGGAGCTGGAGGGATGGTGAGCAGGAAAGGTCGAGGCACACCTGGAGCCCCGTCTGGTTCATCAGAGAGACCAGGCTCCGTGGGGGCCCTGCCATGGGGATGGGGACCCCAGGCCGCTGGGCAGGAGGCCTGTGCCACACACAGCTGGCCCCGGCAAGCGTGTCCAAGACAGGTGCCAGGGTTCCCTCCGTGGCAGTTGTAGGAGATGGTTTCATACCTGAAGAGAACACACATCTTCCCACGGTTTTGTCTGTGAAATCGCTTCTTTGATTCCTGAGCATGTGTGTGTTGCAGGGAGAGCTCTTTTCTGCGAAACCTGTCTTGGGGAGTGATGTCTCCACACCCTTCACACTCTGGCTTGTGGACGGTGCATTAAGTTGGGGGTTTGTTCCCCAGGCTGGGCTGCATGGGCCACTGGAAGTTCCCTTAGAGTCGGTCAATGGAATCCTGACCCTGTCAAGGCCAGGCCTGTGCGGATGGGCCCAGAGGGTGAGGTCAGCTTCAGCACGTTATCCCTCAGAACCTGTGAACACTTACCTTACAATTGGACAGGAAGCACCAGAGACCAACCCCCGCCCCCACATCCATCCTGATTTCATTCTGCCCAGATGTTATCAGAACCCAGCGCCACGTTCTCATTTCCCCTATTTTTGCCTGCAGGAGCGAGGGACTCCCTCTTCTTTGAATTTCAAGAAGCAGACTTAAATTAGACCCTGGGGAGGAGATGCTTCAGATTTGAGGTGTGGGTTTTCTCCCGTTTGTGCATTCATTCATTTATTCTCCCTGACGTTGGCTGTCATGACCCTGCCACCATCAGGATTGAGGCGGTGACATGACTGAGCAGAGTGGGGTCCCGTGCAGGCTCCGTGTCCTGCTGGGGGCGTCAGCACCCACACGTCCCCGTGGGGCTCCTCCCGTGACGGCCGCGGTGGTCCACAGGCCCTGCCCGCCTGTTTTCTGTCCCCTCCTCTCTCCATCTTCAATTCACCAGCTCTCTCTGCATCTCACTTCCGTCCTGACAACATCACGTGGCCCTGACAACACCGTGTGGCTTTTCTTGACCCCTTAGGAGGCCTTCCCTGTGGTTCCTCGGTGTACCTCCCCTCACTCTGCCTGGCCAGACCAGGCCCCCACACTCAGCACCCAGGCATGGACCAGGCCACCCCCTGGGGCACCCAGGGCCACACAGCGCGGGTTGTACTTGTGACAGAGTTAAGCGCAGAAGGGGTGTGACCTCTTACAGCTCAGAGAGACGCCCCTCCCTGTATCACCCCTTAGACCTCTGAAAGACGCCCCCTCCCTGTATCACCCCTTAAAGTACTGAGACGCCCCCTCCCAGTATCACCCCTTAAAGTTCTGAGATGCCCCCTCCCTATATCACCCCTTAAACCTCTGAGAGACGCCCCTCCCTGTATCACCCCTTAGACCTCTGAGAGACGCCCCCTCCCTGTATCACCCCTTAAAGCACTGAGACGCCCCCTCCCTGTATCACCCCTTAGACCTCTGAGAGACGCCCCCTCCCTGTATCACCCCTTAAAGCACTGAGACGCCCCCTCCCTGTATCACCCCTTAGACCTCTGAGAGACGCCCCCTCCCTGTATCACCCCTTAAAGCGCTGAGACGCCCCCTCCCTGTATCACCCCTTAGACCTCTGAGAGACGCCCCCTCCCTGTATCACCCCTTAAAGCACTGAGAGACGCCCCCTCCCAGTATCACCCCTTAAACCTCTGAGACGCCCCCCTCCCTGTATCACCCCTTAAACCTCTGAGAGACGCCTCCTCCCTGTATCACCCCTTAAACCTCTGAGAGAGGCCTCCTCCCTGTATCCATTCACTTTCTTGTCACCAGATATTGAATCCCTCGACGTTGCAGGTGCCACCCTAGGGGCTGGGGACATACAGGGGACAAAAGAGACCAAAATCTGAGCTTCACGGAGCCTCTGTTCTGATGGAGGGAAAGAGACAGTAAGCAGAACACGTGAGCAGATGAGCTGAATGTGAGCAATGTGCTGGCCCACGACAGCTGTGCTGGAAGAAAACACAGGAAATGGAGAGAGGGCATGTTGGGGTGTAATTTCCATGGAGTGGCTGGGGGCTCCCCAAAATGCTCACGTCGGAGTCAGGTCCTGAGGAATTGAGGAGAAAGCTGATGCTGTCTTTGGGGTAAAGCAGCAGCCTGGAGGGGGTGAATGTGGCCCCCACATTGCAGGTCTCAGAGCCAGGATCTAGTTCAGTTTAGGCCACAAGAGGGGCTGTATTGATTAGGAAGCTTTTCACTTCTAGTAGCAATAAATCTTACAAATGGGCATAAACAGCGAGGGACAGTGTAATCTAAAGAAGAGATGCAGAGTCGGAGGAATCTCCTTTCAGTGGATGCTGTGACTTGGTGACACCACCGAGGACATGGAGTCTCCCAAAACTTTCCTCTCACGTCCTCATTGTGTTGTGACTGCCCTTAGACAGATGCCCTTCATGGTCACAAGATGGCTTCAGGGATCCGGGCATCTCATTCAGACACCACAGTCTCAGAGGACACACAGCCCATATCTCTCAGGAGCCGAATCGCCTTTCCTAAAAGTCCACTAGTTGATTTAATTCATGGATTATTGGCCATAATTGGATCATATGACTATGGTTAAACCCATCACTAGCAAGAAAAATGGATTTGGGTTAAACTAATTTCTAGGGAGCCTTGCATGCTGGGAAGTCAGTCAAAATCATCAACTTTAAGCCATGTCTGATCCTATGTGTGAGTGTCCCCAGCCCTCTCACAGCCCTGCTTCTCCAGTGAAGGGCAGCAGGGTTACAGAAAGTCTTCTGTATTACTATTTAAATACTGTCGGTTGCATAAATGCTATTTTCTTGTGGCTTTCTGAAATAAGCTGTTCCAGGGAGATTAGTTGTGATTTATTTTTGGGTAGACAGTTCACGTCCCCCTCCCACCAGTCATTCTCTGTATTTTCTAATGGGGAAGAATAATTTAAAAGTCAAACAGTAAGAAGCCATAAAGTGCGCTGACTTTATAAGCTAGTTCTTTCCTTGTGTCATCCTGCCAGGTAACTACATTACAAAGGACTCATTTTGTTACAGGCCTGTGCCAAGGACAGTAAACACACAGAGCGGAGAGAAGCTACAGGGCAGGATTTCCAGATGGGATGGTCATCAGGGAGAACCATGAGTCCGACCAGGCTCTGATGCATCTCCTGGCCCCTCTGCCTTTTTGAGTGAAAACTGACCTCTAGGCTGAGATGTCCAGATCCCAGCAGGCAGAAGCCCGAGGCCCCATGATCTGGATCCTGGGCCCCCGTGAGCTGGATCCTGGGCCTCCATGTGAGCCCAGGCCGCACATGGTGGGATAAGATCTGGGAGGAAGGGTGGGTTCCCACCTGGTCGCTGACTGATGGTGGGGAGAGCTGGCATGAGCTATCAGGTTAAGCATGGAGCAGGCTGACTGCCAGCTGCTACATTAGCGCCCAGAACCAAGGGATTTCTCTTCCACTTTCTTGACAGATGATGAGGGTTTGTCCACCTGGCATCTGGCTGACGGTGGTTCTTACCTGCCCAGGGTCCCCTGTTCCAGGCCCGCAGGCCCACACGTCTCACTGGCTGTGTGAACATGAAATTGAATTTCTCCCTGGCAGAGAGCCTGGGATCTGATGGGCAACTAGACAATCAAGAGATGTTCTTCTTTTACATAAAATAAGTTAAAATAAACACCATTGAAGAGGGTGGTTATGGATGTCAACACAACTTAAAAGGTTTTATCTGAGTCTTCAAAGGCATTGATTCTATTTCTTGAGATCGTCATTTCTGCAAATTAAAAGACGTTTGTTCCTTAGAAGAAAAGCTATGACAAACAGCATATTAAAAAGCAGAGACATTACTTTGCTGACAAAGGTCCCTATGGACAAAGCTATGGTTTTTCCAGTAGTCAGGTATGAATGTGAGAGTTGGATTATAAAGAAAGCTGAGTGCTGAAGAATTGATGCTTTTGAACTGTGGTTTTGGAGAAGACGCTAGAGAGTCCCATGGACAGAAAGGAGATCAAACCAGTGAATCCTAAAGGAAATCAACCCTGAATATTCATTGGAAGGGCTGATGCTGAAGCTGAAGCTCCAGTACTTTGGCCACCTGATGAGAACTGACTCATTGGAAAAGACCCTGATGCTGGGAAAGATTGAAGGCGGGAGGCGAAGGGGATGACGGAGGATGAGATGGTTGGATGGTATTACCAACTCTATGGACATGAGTTTGAGTAAACTCTGGGAGTTGGTGATGGACAGGGAGGCCTGGCGTGCTGCAGTTCATGGGGTTGCCAAGAGTCGGAGATGATTGAGCAGTATTCTTCTAAAAGGAGTGGAATGCTGCCCTTTAAACATACATGTTTTAATATAAGCACAAGTGCTAGGATTCTTAAGCCCTCCTGCCCAAATTTGGAGCAAAACCAGGATGACCGTGCAGTATGACTAGTTCCCAGGCTGCTTCGAGGTTCAAGATTGAGAATGGAGTTGGCAGTGATCTGGTTTCTTATCATCGTGTGTTGGCTCTGAGCTTTTCACAGGCTGGACACGGTTTGTATTAAAAGTCAACTTCCTAACACACAGAGCAGCCCGTGCCCGAGATTCTCGCAGGTGAGACGTCCCAGGAGTGGATGCCGGTCCACCTCCCTGGGAGTCCTGGCCCCAGCTCTGCCTACACAGTCAGGAGCTGGGACCTGGCGTGTGCTTCTTTCCCCAGAGCTGACATTTCACAGGCTGCTGGTTGTGAACGTGTCAGCTCTAGCGTGGGTACCAATGCCAACCTCCCAAGCCTCATGGATACTCACCTGGAGTCTGAAACAGTGGTTGTTCAGTCTTGAGTATGGGTTGTTTCCCCAGATTGAACAGGCGTAACAGTGAGCCCTCAGCCATCTCTCAGTTATGAAAGTTCTTTCTTGAATGTTCCCCTGGTGAATTTCTGGCTCCCCACCTACCTGTCGCAGCCCCAGGTAGGAGAGGGGGCACCAGGTGGGTAACAGGCCCCTTCACCCCCGTTCACTTTCCTGTGATGTGACCTCAATGCAAACTGCACTGAACCCCACTGCATTTCAAAGAATGTGTGTTAATGGCTTTTGGTGACAATGTGATAGTGTAACTGTTTTCCAAAGTGTGTCGGGAATGCTTTAATTTCAAAAACAACTTTTTGGGCATATTAAGTTTGCGTGAGTGGGGTGTTAGGTTTTCTAGTATCAGAAAGGCCACTCAGAGTCTGAGGGCTGGAGGAGCCTGCGGGGCCCTGCCTCTGTTTCAGCCGGGCTGGACACGACCCTCACGGCCAGCTGGCTCCCTGGGCCCCAGGCAGGGCCTCTGAGAAGCTCTCCCTTTGGAAAGAAGCCTCATTCTTTCATTTTCTTGGGTGGGAGGACAAGGAATATGGAAAATAAGAGTCAGAAATATCACTGTGAAGTGAGCATGATCTCATATCTCCTTCTGAGAGCTTGGAAAGGAAACTGGGCGGCAGGAGGGGCTGAGGACCGAGGGGGTCTTGTTGACTCCCTGAGAGTCAGTGGCCCCCAGAACCCAACTATCCCACTCCCGCACACCCCAGTCTGACTCTGACTTGTTCACGTTTTCTGGGAAGCCTTCCTGACCCCGCGGCTGCCTCAGGTGCCTGGAGGACAGGTTCTCACAGGTGCCCTCGGGGACTGTCAGCGTCCCCACGAGCTGGCTAGCCTGGGTCTGCCCATGCCTCCCTCTCAGGGGTGTTTATGAAGAGCCTGGAGGGAGGCCCCGCAGGGGATGCTTGGGGGATGCTCACGAGCTGTCCACCTGGGCAGGTCAGTCCAGAGTCGTGCTGCTTTCTGGGGTCCCTGGAGTGACTGCTCCCTGATGTGAAGTAACCCGCAGCCACCCCGTCTGCCTGCCTGACGTCAGGGCCCCCAGTTCCTGTCAGCTCCGAGGGGCTGGAACAGAGCTCTTTCTTTTATTGTTTGAACACGGAGGGAGGCAACCTTTTGCAGCTTCGTGAGTGAGGCTGGGGACATGTTGGTCCTTGAGTGATGCATCTGTCTGGAGTCCTGAGGTTCTCTCTGAGGCTCTGCTCTCTCCAGGGTGGGGGTGCATGGCTGCACCCCCATCCCCACTTTAGTGCCAACTGGCATTTCCCCCTCCTCTGACCCCTCCCCGCCTGGTCCTGGGTGGGGGCATCACTTGCACAGGATGTGTTGCAGAGACTGGATGGAGAGACAGAGCATGAGGTGTCACACTTGTCCTTACTACTGTGAAGAAGATGTTAAGTTGTTGCAAAGTCACCAAAGGTCCATCCCAGACACTGCAACATGATGGCCAGATGCCCTGTATGTTCCAGGGCCCAGGAAGCCTGCTGTGTGAGCGAGCAGCAACCTGAGGCAAGTCTGCCTCAAACCAGCTGGTCTCTCTCCTCCCCTCCTCCCAGGTACGAGCAGCCAAAATGCGACAACACAGCCAGAGCTCATCCGGCCAGAACACGGGACCTGTACAAGAGCCGCCAGCTCCAAGGTGAGTGGGCCCGGGGCTGGGCCGGGCTCAACGGCTGCCGCTCTGCACTTTCCTGTAGGTCTGGGGGTGGGGGGGAGCTCAAAAAAGTTTGGTTGTGAAGAATGATCTCAAATTAAGAGAGGCAGTGAGTTTAACCTTGTAACTACTACAAACAGCATTCACTGAAATGTTTTATGGCTGTTCTCTTTCATCAAAAAGCCTGTGAGTGTCTATGGGACACCAAGAAGGATGACGTCAACTGTTAAATTGAAGTCCCACCTGGACGGGGGTCTTCCAGGTGTCGAGGTGCCCTTGGACTTGGCCGAGGGGCATGGCCTCCTGGCTGGGTTGCTGCCGTGCGGTTCATCTGATGAGATCATGGAATGAGAGACCCAACTCCTGCTTCGGGGGTGGGTTCAGTGGCATTGGTAGGATGCTGCGAAGTTGGTTGCTGTTTTGTTTCATTTCCATCTTCTTTTTTCCCCCTTTAAATGCCTCCAGATTGTCTGTCCGGTCAAAGCCTCAGAGATCATGAAAATATTTTCTCCGGCACCTTTCTTTTCGGGTGCGTGCTGGATCTGGGTCTGGATAGCTTGCTGTTTAGAAAAATTCTGTGGTCTTTGCTTGATGCGTACTATCATTGAATCCATAGGAGGGCTTTAGATTCTGAAAGTCAGAGATGTTTCTCTGCCCGTGAGCAGAGGCAGAGAAGATGGGAGGGTCACCTGCCCACCTCCGTACCCTGCCAACGATGCCTGGAACAAGGGCGCTGGACACAGAGGAAGCGGGGAGGCGGGGCCTGGCCTGCTCCGTGTCAGAGCCACCCCGCCAGCTGCCGGTGCTGACTCCGAGCCTCTGGGCTCAGGTCTGCGCCGCTTCCCACCTCACACCTTCCTTCCAGTGCGGGTGCAAGGGCCGCTGACACCACGGCTCTGTGTGAGTGGTCGCTGGGGTGCGCGTTCATGAATCAGGAAGCTTTCTGGATCTTGGGGTGCGGGAGGGGGGGACGGCGAGAAAGGCCAGGAAAGAGAGACCCTGAAGGTGAAAATGCAAACAGGCTTGTTCTTCAAGTGATCCCCGGAGTGACGCCTTATGTATACGTGTCTTGGCCTTAGGAGGAGTGTGCACTGGTGTCTGAAATCTGGTTTAGCACCAGTGGACGGCATGTTTTCTTAAGAGGGAAGAATGAATTTAGCACATTCATCATGTGACTGTTCGCCCTTTGGCCTGTCTTAGCCACACCGCTGAAACTTCAGGCCATCTGCTCTTTGTCTCCGAGGTGCTCATTTTTCTTTTCAATAATCTGAAACTGCCTTACTTCTATCTCAAGCTGTGTATGTTTTTTGCCCTTATAATGTCAATGCCCTTAATGAATGTGCGGTCAAGCTCTGGTCTTCATTAGTTAGAGACCTAGACCTTCCTTAGTTCACAGGACAGACAGAATGTGCCCCTCCCATCCCCTCTTGGGGGCTGTGCCTGGGGAGTCTGGTACCTGGAACCGGGCTGGACTCCAGGTTGAAAGGCTGGAGTGGTCATTGGTCCTCTGGGGACCGCTGACCCTCAATATTGGGAAACACCACGTGACGTCACTGTGGGCTCGTGTGGGGGTCAGATGGGCCGCCTAGAGAAAGGACACCTGGCTCTTCAGGGAGAACCGCGGGAAGGGGTGCTCATCAGAGCTGTGGACACCACACCCGCCTGTCGAAAGGAGGGGGGTGGGCAGGCTGCCACCACAAAGGTGCCCTCCCAGGCCTGCCCTGAAGCCCCAGTCCTGGGCACGCAAGCCCTTTTACGCAAATTCTGAAAAGGTCAGCTTATTTTGCAATCGTGGATGTTTGGGAGTGCACCATTCATGACCACTTAATCATTTTGCTTTTTTGAAGATAATTATCCTTATTAGGGAAAAACAAGTAGGTCTTAAAATAACTCCTGGATGGAGGCTGTTCTTGTCAAGAGGGGAAGACGGTATCCAAAATAACACAGCACCATGGTGGGCAGGCAGACACTTCTAAGTCCAGTGCTGATGCGTTTTCTTCTTAAAAGGCATGGTTTTCATTTTAAGCAGCTTTATTAAGTTTCAGCCAGTAAGGGTCACTCACTTTCCCAGCCAGGCTGATAGTGTCCTCACATAGCTCACTTGTTCGGGGGTTTGCCGACTGCCAAGTGCTCGTCCACACGCCGTGTAGGAGAGAGCATGGACTCCAGGCTCATACCAACTGTGGGAAAGTGGTCACTTAATCTTCGGGGACCAGCGCTTGGTCCTGTGGGGGCACCACGGTCCAGCCTGAGGGGTCAGTTCCTGAGAACTGGGCCGTGGTTTCGACTCTCGTAGTTTATTCTTCGACCGTGTAACGTCCCTTGCACGACTGACTGTCATACCTGAGAGGAGTCAAATTCTCACGTGAGAGACTTCCCACGAAGGTGTTAGACCACACCTTTCCCTGCAGGTCTATCCTGCCTGGTCTGCACTGGCAGCTCTTCATCTTGGTGGTGTTTGGAATAACCTGTCTGCCTGGCTCCTGGCCGGCCCATGCCCCTCACCCTCTCCCGCTCTTCGGGGCTCTGCCGATCACCTGCTCACAGCCACGGGGTGTCTCTGAGCCCAGGACACTGCCCATGAGCCCTCCTGTGGGCCTGGCCATCCATGCAGGACCTGGCTCCCCAGCGAGACCGTTGCCCTCTGATGCCCCCGATGTGTGTTCCCACAGCGTCCGGGGTATTCAGTGCTGTTTTGCAGACGTCAAGTTTCAGGCTCCATCCTGTGCCCCACATGGTCCTCCTGAGATGGGGGCTGAACCCCAGGATGCCCCCCCCAGCCAGCACACCTCCCTGGGCACCTGGAAAAGAGTTTGCAAATTAAGTCCGCTAGGCGAGTTTCTTTTCCTTTGTTGGTGTTGTTTAATTGCTAAGTCATGTCTGACTCTTTGCAGCCTCGTGGACCATAGCCTACCAGGCTCCTCTGTCCTTGGGATTTCCCAGTCAGGAATACTGACCTGGGCTGCCATTTCCTTCTCCAGGGCATCTTGCTGACCCAGGGATCGAACCCACACCTCCTGCATTGGCAGGTGGAGTCAATACCTCTGAGCCACCTGGGAAGCCCTTTCTTTTCTTATTCTGAGCCTTTTGACTCTTCTGTAGTGAGTGACACTGGAAGACTTCTATGTACCCAGTGGTCTTGCTGACTTTAAGGCACAGAGTATGTCTTCAATGAGTGGGATTTCTAGTGTGGAAGGGTTGACCTCATAGATGGAGCTCATTGTTCTGATTCAACCTCGGGCTCTCTGTCCAGTAGGAGAACTCACCTGTCTTCTCTCCTTGGCAGAGACACACCCAGACATGACAGCTAAAGGCCACTGGATGCCACTCACACACCCATTGCCGAGATATAGGCAGAGGCCTCAGTGGGCAGAGAGGTGCCTGCTTTTGGCTCCTGGAAAGCACTCAGCTTCAGACCTGGGTCCCCGATCCTCAGACCTGGCTTCCCCATCTGTGTTGAGGAACCAGCCCCTGGAGGCAGTTGGGGGGAAAGATAGATGAAGGAGATTTTGTTATAAAAAATATCAAAATAAGTTACTTTGTAGCTTAGAGCCTATGACTTTCTCTCACTGGTGCTGATCAGACCGTTTGTGTCTTTTACATTTAAACACGTTTTGTTTGGCTTATTGTCTCTCTGAGATAATTTTAACAGGCTCATCAGGGTTCCATTCTCCTCTGGCTTTTTGCTTCATTGAATCTCTTCTGATGGGCAGTCGCTGGTTTTGTTATCATTATGGTGCAATGCAGTCAAGTCTTTATAGGCAATCGACGAGAAAGAGCTCAAAGCTGGAAGGCAGTTCGAGAGAGCTCTGAGGGCAGGTGAGTCCGGGGAGGACCTCACTCCCCGCCCTGCCTCTCTTTCCTCCATCCATTCAGGGCCACTCTGCTGTCTCTCAGGGGCTTCGGGCCAGAGGATGGTGAGTGACTGAGAAGGGTCTTAGGTTTTCTGGTGCCTGAAAGTGGCCTCCTCACGTTCCCACTTCATCCCCCAAACCAGAGCCATACGCTGCCCCCCAACTCAGCACTGGCACCCAGGTCAGCCCAGCAGAGACCGTGGCCCCTCCTAACCTGAAAGGCAGTCTGAGGCTGAGCAAGGCCACCACAAAGAACCTGTGGAAGTCAGCGGCCACAGAAGCCTCTTTTCTCATGGCCTCAGCGATCACAGGGACAGCAGAACTTCACTTCTATTGCTGTTGTCCACTCACTCAGTCATGTCTGACTCTTTGTGACCCCATGGACTGCAGCATGCCAGGCTTCCCTTCCATCACCAACTCCCAGAGCTTACTCAAACTCATGTCCATTGAGTCAGTGATGCCATCCAACCATCTCATCCTCTGTCGTCCCCTTTTCCTCCTGCCTTCAATCTTTCCCAGCATCAGGGTCTTTCCCAATGAGTCAGTTCTTCACATCAGGTGGCCAAAATAGTGGCGTTTCAGCTTCAGCATTAGTCCTTCCAATGAATATTCAGGACTGATTTATTTTAGGATTGACTGCTTGGATGAGAAATCCTCAAAGCACCACCTGAATTTCTCAAGCAATATTTTAGCAGATTCTAAACGTTTTCAAAACTTTCATTACCTGAGGCAGCATAAAATAACCCTTACCTCGGCCTAACACACTCCCCCAGCGGTAACTCACCCTGCTTGGCACCTCTGCTGAGCTTGCCAGGCTCTCAGGGAGCGGGGCTCACTCTCTCCCAGGCCGACGGGCCTCTGGGCTCTTCTGCAGACAATAGACAACACTAGTGTTCCACCCCCGGAAATGCCAGCTTCAAGCGCCGACTCCACAGCCCGGCTCTGCTTCAGCTGCGTTGGGATGGAACACTCTGTCTGAGGGCCCCGCAGATGCTCTGTGCCCAAAGTGGGCCCTCCCTGGGGCTGTCCACTCCTGGGCCCACCTCTGGGAGGCTCCCGGCCGTCTGCCTCCTTGGGCTGGGCCAGGACGAAGCTGCATGAAGGTGAGGGCAGGTGTGCCATGTGCAGGAG